CGGCTAAAGTACCGTGTCCCGCAAATTCTTATTATTAAATATTTTAAAGGAAGAAGAATCAGATGAAGATACTGTAAGAAGAAATAATCATGTTGTAATATAAGCTATTTGTACCCTCTAAGATAAAATAAATAAATAAACAAATAATAAATAAAAAGAACTTTTTTGAAAACAACATTTTTTATATGATCTTTCATTCCAGGGCAAATATTACGAACTAGCAAAATACACATAATAAAGTTTACAACTGGCGCTGGTATGTTTACATTATATTGTAAATATATATATATATATATATAAAATATATATATTTACATATATTTGAAAACGATGCAATGTTTTAAAAGTGGTTACATAATTATGATAAAATCACAATCCTAATCGTGTACATTTTAATGCAATTATAAATACATAATATGCATTGTATAAATATTTACAAAAATGATATGAATACGTGTATGACACCAGAACTATATATTTTTCATTGACTGTAGTTTGTTTATTTTTCTCTGAAATAAAAGTAAAATGGTGTCGTGATTACATTTTTTTTAAAACAGCACAAGGTACATTTTTTGATTTACCTAATATTTACGTAATTTCGAAAATGTGTGAACGTTTACATTTCAATGCACGCAACGAAATCCCACAATCTCACGATTGACACTAATAGCAATCGCGAGCACGCGCGAGCTCGCGCGATATCGTACGAGATATCGTGAATCGTGTTTCCGTTGCAGAGTTATTATAGTATATGTGCAGCAATATGGTTCAATGTTACTTCAACAAATATTTCAAATCTCATCTCGCCCATCCTCGTCAATCCCGAACATTTCCACCGAAGATGCGCTAGAAGAGAATTGATATTTTGCCATACAAGTTTCAAAAGTCGTCTTGCCTCGTCTCGTCTCGCGTCACTGGTGGAAATACACCCTGAGACGTGTTTGTGCGGGAAGAGGGAGGGGTGAGGGAAGGAAGGTGAGGAGAACCATTTGTTGGCATGTGGTAGCACCGTATAAATCTGAATGTTCAATTCCCGTAAAATTTATATAAAATAATTTCAAAGACTCTTGAAATGTTCTACGTTTAGAAATATCCTTTGAAGTTTCTTAATGCTTATTTTAATACTAAAATAGCTTTATTTACATTTCTTTTACTTGCATTGTATTAGATTAAGTTATATTGAAATAAATTTATCTTTATTTTTATTTATTTTTAATTATAAAATAAACTTGTTTAGCTAGCAGCCACATAAAAAATCAGATATTTTTTTTTTTACGAATAATTTCATAACAGCCAAATGAACCTTTTCAATGGCTCCATCGTTTTCGTTTATAGTACCAACACGCTTTGATGGCCGTTTTGACGTTTGTCCGCTCATCGAGTTTGATTAATTGTTGTACATAGCCGTCAATAGTGACGCGCAGTAAAATTTCAAGACAAGACAGCAGTAACTAAGTCACACCTGTTTTCGAGAAAAACGTGGTTAAAGAAAATAATTTGAAATTTACTCTAGCTTCAAAACTACGCAAGTTACAGCGACATGGCATATATCAATAGAAAGGTAAAAGAATGAAGAATTGTAAGGTGATATATTTATATATGTATGTTAAGGTTATGTATGATAATATTTCAAAAGTATTCTTATGTTTAGTCACTGCTCTAGTAACACAACTGATCCTCCTAACCATAACGTCAGTAAGTACCTTAGATACTGCACTTATTCTTAGAAACTACATATTCAAAAACAAATTAATAATAATATATATAATAAATAACTGCATTATCTATTAAGTTACTGCAGTTTTTACTAAAAATACACTTCATATTGATGCTATTTTCTAATGTTTTATACAGTTAAAACTCACAATTTGTTAGTATTACTTACATAACTTCGACGTAAAGTGGCAGCATGCTGCATTGCTTGAGATTTTTGAGAGTATCGGTGGCCTAATTCCCTCTCTTCACTTTTGTCTTTCTTCTTTTCTCGCTTCCTTCCCTTCTGTAGTGTTAGCAACGACTGAGTAAGGCCCTGGTATTACAAGCGTACATGATAGGCTACGGTAAGAGTTCGAGTCCCATTGTTTATTGTATACACAACTGCTTATTCAAGGAATAAATAAATTTGAAATTTCACAAGTCGGACCAAGTGTTAATTGGATTGGGTATATAAAGAGATGAGGAAATATAGTATAGTAAAATATATTAATTTCGTACATTTATGATATTAGAATAAAACAAAGAAAATTCCTGTATTATATATTTGTTCAAATCCCAGACATATGAACTCTAAATCACATTTCGATTGACAATAAACAATAGAAAAAAATCAAACCTTGCCTTCTACAGAAGTTAGTTAAACTTCAGTCTCCTTATTACTTAGTTGAGAAACTATAATTTGAGATCACGTTTCTTTATTAAAGAACTATAGGTATTATTATTATTAATGCTATGACAACTGCTTTAACATTCAGTCTTCTCTGATTAATTATTTTACTTGAGATCAACTTTATATGTGAAAAATAACACTTTTTCACGTGTATAAATATTACTCATTAAGCGGACAACGCCCAGAGGAGTATTTCACCTCAAAAGTTGCCCAAAATGATTTTGTGATTTTTACCGATTTGACATGTAATAAAAAGCAGTTTAAAGTCATTATATTGTATTTAAATACACATATTTTTCGTTGTGATGGAAATTTATTGCAAAAAATATAATATTAATGGGATTCGTCGTCAAAGACCCATCGTCATCTTCATTATACCTAAGTTGATGTTGCGTCCGATGCTTCCGGCAGCAGAAGTTCCTATGTCTTACTGGAGAAAAAATTACTTTTTTTCTGTTTTGCATTTGAATTGTACTGCTCAAAAAAGGATCAGAATTTAACAAAAGTCTGTGTAAAATGTACATGCGGGACTTTTTATTTAAAAACATTAACAAGAACAACTAAGTTTTGAGTAACACACAAAATCATAAGTTAACTAGGCTTAACTGATATACATAACCGTAACCATATATGAATATAGTAATTACAAAAAAACATTATTTTTTATTGTGGAATGTATACGGAAGAAATATCACTTTATCAAGTGCAATCCGGAAAATATAATTTTAAATTAAAGTACGTACCTGCTTCTAAATATATTCATCAATAGGTATTACAAAACTTTCACGCTGAAATTCCCGTTTAGTGGTGTAACGGTTATTAAGCTTTAACGATGCACGTTTTGTAGATGAATTTAACAAAATGTCTTAAATCGACTGCCACTAGCTTAGAGACGTCTTCTCACCAATTCTGCAGTATCTATACGAGTTATTACAGCTTTATTAGAATTGCAACTACAAAATGTTATTGATTTCCTTATAATAACTGCAGTATCTAACAGATACTGCACTTGTAATTAGCTCTAAGATGGTAGATTTTGTAAAACATAAATAAAAATAGTGCAGTAACTGTTAGATACTGCAGTTATCATTGGCTCTGGTATGGTAGATTTTGTAAAACATAAATAAGTGCAGCAACTATTAGATACTGCGTTTATTGCTAGAATTCCATTGCCATTGACTCAAAAATTATATAGTAACTAATCTTAGTGCACTTTAAATTGGCAAATGTTGTATATTGTACTGAGTTACTGCAGTTTCACTTATTGTATTATATGGTTCCCATGGGAATTTTGATACATGAGTTAGAGCCAAATATAGATCTTGTTTTGGTGTTAACGATTATGTATTTAACTCAATTTCGTCAAAAATGCTAGTTACCGCACTTTCCATTAGGACTGCAAAATTCGTAAAATTCACGACAGAATTTGTTTTTCGAAAATGGAAATTTAAAAAAATGAAATCTAATACGATCGTCACTTATAGGATCGCTGACCAGCACAACTTCTACCTCCGGCAAACTCGCGTCAAACCTCAATTCGAAACAAAGCAGTTTCGAATTGACGATATATATTAAGTAAACATTTTTGTTTTCGTTTTATTAAAACTTTTTAATCAGCTACTCCTTGCAGTACTTGTTATAAATGTAAAAACATAGATGCGACTCGCATTTGGTTATATTTTTTTCGATAATGAATTGAGATTTGCCTCACTATCGTAATCTGTCAAAACGGCTATCGTAGCGTGCCGGTAGTGTAGTAAGGTCAACGTCAAATGTGGAAAATTACAAAAAAAGTTTGGAAAAATATCCGGAAAAATACTGCCGCGTTGCTACGTTTTTACGAAGTACAACCAATAAAAACGCAAATTATCCAACCGGGGTTATATCAGAATTGCTGACTATGGCCAGAATCTTCCCTTTTGAGGAGTCAGCCTCAGTTTTGACAATTAATATCGAATATTAAATCTGCCTCCATTAGTTGAAAGTAGTAGTTGGGCGTATATGACATTAAAAAAATAATTATGTATACTGTAGTGATCAATAAAAAAAGGCCGAACTGTCACTATTTTTATTTTTTTCTAGCTGGATAAAATATGAAGTAATTTTTGTTGATTTCGTTTCTATAACTTTATTTTCTCGGTTTTGAGTTTTTGTCACAATTAACGGCGGCGGATTCAACATTTGATATTAATTTTCTAATCTGTGTCTGTGGGTACTCTAAAAGTACATATAATGTACAAAATAATCTCGTATAGTATTTCGTGCACATAAGGAATGTATTTTTTTCTTAAAAGTTTATGTCCCTGAGGAAATTATTATTCTTCACAGACGTCACGGTTCATTTACGAAAATGTGATTTATGTTAAAAAGTTAAACTCTAAATCATATGAAAAACAAGAATGCAACAAAAGAAATAGGCGTGTTGGTGTTCTAGCTCTTGTTCGGTGGACTGTATTGTTCAGGTTCTTGATCTGGATCGCAAATGAAAACTCTTGATTAAAGTGGATTCAATCCGTCTTTATTACCAAAAATGTTCCTACTTAAATACCAATTTCACTCTCTTATCTAGTACAGTGGTTGGCGAGTAGGCGGTCGGCGCGGA